CGCGAAGTCGCCGGAACCGTAGATTACGCGGATCCAACAAGAACGCAGCGAACCACATTCGCGGACGATGGAACTTTCGGATTCGATCATTTTAACCGTGTCGCGTCCATGATATTTACATCGCGGCAATATCGTAACCAGGAATGTTACTGCTGAGCCTCGGCCGATAGTAAATCCATTCGTTCAGCAATATCGCGCTCCGGCCGCGCCCGCGAAACCATCCGTTTACGATTTTAATTTTTACCGAGCGCGATCACCGTGGAACTATAAATCGAGAGGACAACAGGGGATGCACTCCGCGAGAGTTCGATTCTAAACCTTTCGTCTGAAAAGAAACTGAACTTTTGCCAAGCAATTACAGTTGAACTCCGATTTTGATGAAGCAACAAGCGATACATTATAATATTTAAAAGTCATTTGCACGATTAGAAAGCAAGACTAAAACATCGGCATGCATCTAATAATACATGTATTTTATATATATATATTATTATTATTATTATTATTATTATATATTATTATTATATATATATATTATTATTATTATTATATTGTATATATATATATATATATATATATATATATATACATATTTTATATATTATATATATAAAAGTATCACAGGAAAATATTACCTTTCTGAAGATATATTTTTGACAATTTCGCTTACTTCGATAACCGGTTAATTAGTTACGAATAAGGCTCATAACTCTTTTCCGTCGTGCATTATAAAATTATCTTTGGAATATACAGGGTGCGACGCATAACCATCGCCACGACATCGTTCTTCTTCGATACACTAAACATTTGTATTAAAAACTAAACAAAATAGAAGAATACAAAAATGCTGCATCGATAGATTTAAGCTAATCTCGACTGATTTAAAAGTATAGCCTAGTATATCAATTTTAACAGAAAACGTGATTCTTATAAAATATATATTTTTTCCCATTTTCAAAGCTTTCGAAAAAAATTCTAGGTATTTGTAATAGCAGCTCGCATGCATGCCAAAAGGTAATTTAGACATGTAAGAACGCATGGGCTAAATTTCATGGATTTATAACAAAGTCGAAAAGACTTCTTGTTCGTATTTTGACAAATTCGGAAGTGGTCCGGATTTTGTTCGTCGTAACGATACATTTAAAACAGAGCTGTTCAACTACTTGCCCGTGAGAACAGCGATTTTCCGCCCAAGGCAAACACCGATCTGCGAGCTCCAGTCCCCACTCCCGAGAGCAACGATGTCCCTTCCTTAACTCCTCGTGGGACTCCCCACCAGTTAAATGCACGTTATTGCCTGAAGCAATCGTCGATATCGAGTGAAATAGAATGATAAATAACGGCAATGCGTGCGAGTGAGACAAGAAGAATAACATGAAAACGTAAACACTTCGCTCTTTCATTTCTTACGCCTCCCCCCCACTCTCCACTAAGCGCTTGACGGAGCTTTGCGCTTAGCCTGTGGCTTTGCCTTTGCTCGCCGCGGGGCATGTTTAACAGCTCTGGTCTATACACTCTTACATTGGTAAACAAATTGTAACATATAAATTTCGTGAATCACCCTTCGGGTTGGTATTGCACGTTGGCACAGATTTTAGCAAGAAAGTTGATGCGATCGATGAACCAGACCAATGTACACCGAAGGTGTGACTTTAACCATCAACCGGACTGTCAATTATACCTGACAGTTATCGTTTCAGTAAATATTGAATATTTTGTAACGCAATATTGAATATTTTGTAACGTAATATTTTGTTCGGGGTACAACGGAAGGACACAGAGTGAAATTGCACTAGATTTTATTCGGAGATGTATATAAAATGACGCGCGGTGCGGATGGATACTAGATGGAGCGCGGCGGAATAGTTAAACGTGTAGAGGCTCGGCGCAATGCTCAGACGAGAAGATTTTCAGTTTCTTGCCGCTGTTATTTATATTATGTCCCCCAAAAAGGCCACGCCTTTTTGGGAGACTCGCTGTCTTCTTTTCCCCCGCTTAGTTTGGCGGGGGAGGCAGCCATCGTCGAACCCTCACTGTAGGGGCGCGCTGGCCGTTCGGCCGGGTAGCGGTACGCGGCCGGCGACTTTCTCCGCGACTAGGCCTGCAGTGCATGTGGCAGTGATAAAAAATAAAGAGACAAAAGAATTTCCGGGTCTTGCAAACGTCAAGGACGTTTTCTCTC